TTTATTCCTTCTTCTTGCCTAATTGCTCTGGCTAGGAATTCCAGTACTATGTTGATATTTGTTATTCTTTTGAAGAAGTTTTTTTCTTTAAATTTTTTCTACTGCTTGTTTTCCATGTCTTTATTTTTTGTTCTTATCTTCAGGGCCTCAATCTTCCTAGGCAGTGCCTTAACCATTTGAGCCACTCTGTCAGATCTTTTTGTTGTTGGGTATTGTTCGGAGATAAGGTAATGAGAAACTATTCCCTGGCTGACCTCAAACCACAATCCTCCTGATCTCTGCTTCCCCAGAAGCTAGGATTACAGGTGTTAGCTACTGGCATCCAGCTCTTCTAGTTCTTGAATTGAATGTTTAATTCATTTGTTTTTGTTCTTCTTCTTTGGTTATAGCCTCAATTTATTAAAATGTACCTTGAATATATCAATTAACTGAGGTGGGTAAGCTCCGTTTTTTTAATTTTTTTGTGTGTGTATGGTGCTGTTTAGGTGTGACACAGGGCTTCATTGCTTGCTGAACAGCCACCTACATTTGAGTCACCTCCTGCCAGCCCGGGGATACACTAGTTATAGAACATAAGCTTATTCATGAAATGATTCAATGGTTGGATTCCTCCCACCTCCACCCCCCTTGCGGCATTGAAAAACATAAAAATTAAAAATAATCATGAGTTAAAATTATGTGGACCAATTTTTTGGTATGTTTTTATTTTATTTTTCCTAATATAACAGAGCTAACTATTCATTTAGGTCTCTTTCCTCTGTCACCCATTTGAGAACTTTGGCATTGTCATTAAATCTACTGCAAGAGAACTTCTTTCTTTTTCATTTTTTTTTTGTGGGAACTAGACGTTTTGACTCAAGGACTTTGCATTCACAAAGCAGCCGCATCTTCAGTTCAATTTTTGCTCTGGTTATTTGGAGATAGGGTCTCGTGAACTAATTTGGTTCAGGTCTGGCCTGGAAATGTTGATTCTCCCTGATGCTCAGCCTCCCTCCTCTTATTTTTAATTACTTTCTCTCCTTTATTTGTTTTGGGATTTGCTTGTTCTTGTTTTTCTAGGAAGTTTGAGATATTCATTAGGTCATTGATTTGGGTCTTTCATCTTTTTAATGTATGCACTCATGGCTATAAAACTTTCCTCTCAGGACTGCCTTAGCTGTGTCCCATAGGTTCCGGTAGGTTGTGTTTTCATTTTCATTGACTTCAGGAACTTTTGAAATTCCTCTTTTATTTCATCGATGATCCATTGTTCATTAAGCTAAATGAGTTATTTATTTCCAGCTGTTTGCATGGTTTTTTTGTCTTTACTTTTGTTGTTGAGTTCTCTTTTACTGCATTTGTCAGATAGTATGCACGTATTAATTTCTATTTCTTATATTTGCTGAGGCTGCTTTGTGCCCTAGGATATGATCTATTTGGAGAAGGTTCCATGGGCTGCTGAGAAGAAGTAATTGTGTAGAGGTTGGATGAAATGTTTCGACTGTAGACATCTACTAGGTCCTTGATCTATGCATATTTTAGATCTTGGATTTCTTATTGAGTTTTTGTTTGGATGACCTAATCTATTGATGATAATGGAGTGTTTGTCTCCCACAACCACTGTGTTGGCGTTATATATGCTTTTAGGTCTTTCAGGTATGTTTGATGAAATTGGGTGCGTGTTGACATTGGGTGCGTACAGATTGATGATTATTCCTTTTGGTCTATTCCCCTTTTATTAGTATGGAATGTCCTTCTTTATCTCATTTGATCAATGTAGGTTTGAAGTCTACTTTGTCAGAGATAAGTATTGCTACTCCTGCCTGTTTTCAGGGGGCCATTGGCTTGGTAAAATCTCTTCCAGCCTTTCATCCTAAGCCTATGCTTATTTTCTGTCGGTGAGATGAGTCTCCTGTAAGCAACAAATTGTTGGATCTTCTTTTTTAATCCATTTCGTCAAACGTGCTTTTGATGGGTGAATTAAGTCCTGTTAACATTAAGTGTTAGTACTGATAGGTATGTGGTGATTCCTGTCATTTAGTTGTCTTAGTTGTTTGAAGGTTTGATTGTGTGTACCTAACTTGAGTTACTCTCTACTGTCTTGCTTTTTCTTCCTGTGGTTTGGTGCTGCCTGCCTTTCATGGTTAAGTTGGGTGTCACTTTCTGTGTGCAGGAATCCCTTGCAGAATCTTTGTAATGGTGGTTTGTGGTCACATATTGTTTTAGTTTCTGCTTATCATGGAAGACTTTTATTGCTCCATCTATTTTGAATGATAGCTTTGCTGGGTAGAGTATCCTGGGGTTGAAGTTATTTTCATTCAGTGCCCGGAAGATCTCACCCCACGCTCTTCTTGCTTTTAATGTTTCTGTTGAGAAGTCTGCTGTGATTTTGATGGGTTTACCTTTGTATGTTACTTGTTTTTTTCTCTTACAGCCTTCATATTCTTTCCCTTAGTTTCTGAACTTGTTGTTTTAATGATGATATGTCCGTGGGTAGTTCTATTTTGATCTGGTCTGTTTGGTGTCCTGGAGGCCTCTTGCATCTGTATGGGAATATCTTTCTCTAGATTTGGGAAATTTTCCGTTATTATTTTGTTGAATATATTACGCATTCCCTTCGCTTGCACCTCTTCTCCTTCTTCGATGCCCATGATTCTCAAGTTTGGTCTTTTGATGGAGTCAGTGAGTTCTTGCATTTTCTTTTCACAGGTCTTGAGTTGTTTAATTAATAGTTCTTCGGTTTTTCCTTTAATTACCATTTCATCTTCAAGTTCTGAGATTCTGTCTTCTGTTTGTTCTATTCTGCTGGATTGGCCTTCCGTTTTGTTTTGCAGTTCTGTTTTGTTCTTTTTTCTGAGGTTTTCCATATCCGGCGTGTTTCTTCTTTAATGTTGTCTATTTTTGTCCTGAGTTCATTTATCCTTTATTCATCGTGTTCTCTCTTTCACTTTGGTGTTTATACAGTGCTTCTATGGTTTCCTTTATTTCTTCTTTTGCTTTTTCAAATTCTCTATTTTTATTGTCTTGGAATTTCTTGAGTGTCTCCTGTACATTTTGGTTGACCCTATCCAGTATCATCTCTATAAAATTCTCATTGAGTACTTGTAGTATGTCTCTTTTAAATTATTCTTGTGGGCTTCATTGGGTCCTTTGGCATAGTTTATCTTCATTTTGTTGGAGTCTGGATCTGAGTTCTGTTCTTTCATTTCCCCTCTGGTTCCTGTACTAATTTTTTGCTGTGGGGAAACTGGTTTCCCTGTTTTTTTCTGTCTTCCCGTCATTGTCCTTGGTGTTGTTACTGTCCCTGTACTGTGTGCAATTAAGTATTTTCTAGCTTGTAAATAATAACAAGGTAATATTTAGAATGGAAGGGTGAGCTGAGATGGAAAGCAAGAAGTTAAAAGAAAAGGGAAAACAAATATACAGACAAGAGGAGAAAGCAGAACGGTATCAGACAAGAGAGTTTCAAAGGTATAACAGGGATGTTAGTGTACTAATCGACAGTAAGCTGAACAGACATTAGAGAGACAGAGAGAGGATTGAAAATCAAATAAAATAAAAAATAAGTTAAATGAAAGTAATATCTATAATAAAAATGAATTAAAATAAAATGGAAAATAGAAAATTAAAAAAAAAAAAACCAAAAACTTCCAAGTTTATATGCAATGAGTTTCAGTTTAATAATTTGGGTGTCCGTCTCATCTCCAGTCCTGGAGTTGGTGCCTCAGATGTTGTTCTGTAGTTGTCTCATCAAAGGGGATGCATAAAGTAGAACAAAACTACACACACACACACACACACAACACACACAAAAAGCCCCACCAAGTGTCCCCAGTTCAAATGCAATACAGTTTCAGTAAGTTTTTCGGCTTGCAGGTGTAATTCGGTTGTTCTCTCATCAAAGGTAGGGAGAAAAAGAAAAAAAAGCGTCTGGAGACAGTTCTGAGAGTGGTATCTGCAACTGTGGCTTGCCTGCCTGCTGCTCTCAGCCTGCAGCTGGCAGCGTTATTTATGCAGATCTCTGGGGTGAGCTAGCACTCACCTGGCCCTGCAGGCGTTGTTTGTTCAGAGTTCTCCTGTGTGGGAGCCTCTGCTACAGGCTTTCCCCTTTCCAAGCACTGGGAAAGGTGACACTGCCCCCGCGTTGTCAGGCCTGCGTGTTTATTTACAGTTCATGTGGGAGGTGGGTCTTCCCCCCTCTCCTCTGAAGTTTTCCTCCCGCTGCCACTTTCAGAAGCTTTCTTGCTCCTGCTTACTGGGCGGTGCTGCTGCTCCTGCCGGCCGCCATGTTTGTTTACAGCTCACGTGGGAAGTGGGTCTTCCCTCCTCTCACAAGCTTCCCCACACCTGGTTGCTGGGTGGGCCCCACTCCCGCCAGAGGCTCTGCGGCCTGCCTGGCTTGTTTATTTACAGTCCCGGGAAGGATTCCCTTCCCCCAGTCTTCAGCGCTCAGGGCACCCCACCCTCTTTCCCACGTGTCTTTATTGCTCTTATTGCTTATTACTCAGTTTCTCTTTTTTTCCCGGGTGGAGGTCAATCTGGCCAGGGGGCTATGCTGCTCTGGCCCAGGCTTGTCTGTGGGGGAACCGCGGTACCGCGAAGCTCACCTGGTCCGCGTCTTCCCAAGCCGTCTGGGCGCCGGCCACTGGCGGCCCCCCGGGCCCTCCTCGTTTCTCTGTTTAACGTGAAGTGGAGATTCTCTGCACCGGCTGGAGATGTGGAGGGGTCAAAGTTATGCCTTTTCTCTGTGATTATGCCTGCAAAGTGTGTCTCCAGCGTCTCTCCAAGATTTCACTGTAGGAGGGTCGCTTTCTGCTTCCTACCTCTAGCCGCCATCTTGGAATCTCCCGCAACAAACTTTAAATGTATACATTTACTTATTTCTTAATATATCACATTGAGGTTTGAAATTTAGGCTTTCCTGAAGCAATTCCATCTCATTTTTCTATATTTTCCTTAAAAGATTTAAGTGACAGAATTTGAAGAGCATGTGTGCTTAGCTTGAATTTGTAATTAAACAGGATTTAATCAAAGATCTGAAGTCAGAGTTGAGTGGAAATATGGAAGAACTAATCCTTGCCCTCTTCATGCCTCCTACATATTATGATGCCTGGAGTTTACGGAATGCAATGCAGGTACTATATGTCATTTTCTCTGAATATTTTATCCTACTTAATATGTAAAACATCATAAATTATAGTTGTTCTGAATTTTCAGTGATAGTTAAAGCAATATATGATTTTGTATTATCTGAATTTTTTCAGTTCTAAAAGAAAAACATTTGGTAGGATAGTAAGATTAATCATGTTAAAAGATTTTTTTCCTTTTGTTTAATTTCCCCTTTATGTAGGGAGCAGGAACTCAGGAACGAGTATTGATTGAGATTTTGTGCACAAGAACAAATCAAGAAATCCAAGAAATTGTCAGATGTTATCAGTCAGAATTTGGACGAGACCTTGAAAAGGACATTAGGTCAGATACATCAGGGCATTTTGAACGTTTACTTGTGTCCATGTGCCAGGTGAGTACAATGTGAATGTTTGTGTGTAGTGGAGCGAACATACCTTGGTGCTTGGTGCCAGTGAGCATCTTTATTCATTTTAATGTTTAGCTGCCTTGGAATATTGCCATCTTTATCAGGGACAACACAGAATCCAATGTTCAGATTATTTTGTGTTTATTCCTGGGATTTATGTCTGTAAATTTGACTTTTTAAGAAATCAGAAATTAACCTCTTCAGGATTTTATGGAAGCATAAACCCACTTGTAGCTCTGACTGGGATGTTGGGATAAAATGGTGATTTAAACTTAGCAGTGTCTTGCCAATTATGTTGGACCAACTGAAGATATGCAGGACTGCCATAGAAATACTGAGAATGTGAGAACTGTGCAAGGAAAGCCAAAAAGCAGAGAAGTGTTTTGAGGCTCATAGTATATACTGTGATTGGCATCTTTATTATTCTGAATCCCCAGATTTGCTGGAGAGGTGACAGAAAATATTCTAAGAGGGTATTTGGAATGGTATCAGAAACACAGAATGAGATTAGGAGGAGGATGTATTTGAAAGACCTGATGCAAAAGACCAGCATAGTGATTTAATAGCAAGAGTTATTGACTGTCCTGTACATGACTGAATAACCTTGAGAAATCTAAAAGTAGAGGAGGGGCTCATAAGAGCCAAGGGAGGTAGTTACAGAAAGTGTGCAAAAGGCAGAGGATGTGTGCAAGAGTGGAATAGTATGGAAAAGTTAGAGAATATGGAAATAAGAAAATACAACAAATTGGTTGAAGGAAATTGTGCCTACAACTGAGTAACAGAGCCAAGGAAACAGTAAATGTTAGGATTTTAAAAGAACAAGAACAAGGAAAACTAGAAACAGACATTTAGTGCTAAAAAAAACCAAGTTATTGCTGGGCACTGGTATCTCACGTCTATAATTCTCCCTACTTGAGAGAGTGAGTTGGGGAGGATTATAGTTTGAGGCCAGCCCAAGCAAATACTTTGTGAGACCCTCATCTCCAAAATAAGCAGAGCAAAAATAACTGGAGGTGTGGCTCAAGTGGTAGAAGGCCTACTTTGCAAGAGAGAAGCCCTGAATTCAAACCCCACTCCCACCAAAATAAACAAAAGTGATTATTAAGACTTCACCTAAAGGTACCTTTTTCAGCAGGTGAGCAGAAAAACAGCTGTTTAGAAAAATGGGACTGTATTATGTGTTTGCATCCAAAGGTAATAGTTTAGGAAGTTTTTCCTGAACATCTTTTTAAAACTAATTATTATTGGGAGCAGTGAGGTAGGTAACTGGAAATTGAACTCAGAACTTTGCAATTTGTCAGGCACTGTACCATTTGAGCCACTCTGCCATCTCCCTACCCCAATTTAAAAAATTTATGTTTTACTTTTATTTATTTTAATCCCCGTCCTCTCCCCACCCCCATAGTGCCAGGGATGGAACATAGGGCCTCATGCGTGCTAAGCAAGTGCTCTGCCTCTAAGCCACACCCCCAGCTCCTTTTGAACACCTTTTCCCATGCTGTGTTCAGTTGCCCATTTAGAATATGCTTCTGTATATTCCTTGTGCCAAGTGCTTCTCAGAAGACAGTTCTCTACCTTCAAGGAGCATCTTTCCATTTTGTTCCTCAGATGGGTGCCGAGACTCTAGAGGGCAGCCTTGCCCTCTTTTATAAGGCTCATGCATCATTTTATGTCTTCACAATAAATACATATTCATATACATGTATATATTGATATGTCTATATAAATATTGTACTTGGATGAAGGAAAGCAAGTTTGTGAGGCCTCCGTATTGTATCCTTCCTCCCTAGACTTAAATTTGAGGTTAGGGACCTTGTCTCTCTTGTGTTACCTAGCATAGTGCTTGGTACAGAGAAAGTGCTCAATATCTTTTAGTTGCATCAATGAGTACAAGTGGAACTCAGGACAGTACATATGGATCCTACATCCCCACTAAGGGCAGTTACAATTTTGTCATTTGAATGGTAGTTTGTATCTCCTAGTATAGACATTTTTGTTTAAACTTTATCTGGTTTAACTTAGCTCTCAAAATCCTGAAACCCTTCATTTTAACATAACTTCATTAAACTGTGATGATGTTACACAATCCAGAATTGACACTGTAATACAATACTAGCTGTTTCTTTGGAAATGAAAGATATACATGACAGACTCTAGCCTTAATGTTTAATAAGTTATTCTTTTAAAGTCAAGAGTGACTAGACTCTTGGATTTATAATAGAATTATTCTTTCTTCCAATTCTCTTTTACAGGGAAATCGTGAGGAAAATCAGAGTGTAAACCACCAGATGGCTCAGGAAGATGCTCAGCGTCTCTATCAAGCTGGTGAGGGTAGACTGGGAACAGATGAATCTTGCTTTAACATGATCCTTGCCACCAGAAGCTTTCCTCAGCTGAGAGCTACCATGGAGGCTTATTCCAGGGTATGAGCTCTTCTGAAGATTTGGTGTCAATTTTAAGATGTAAACATATTTAACCCTATAATTTTGTCTGCAGGTGGCTAATCGAGATTTGTTAACCAGCGTGGGCCGTGAGTTTTCTGGATATATTGAAAGTGGTTTGAAGACCATCTGTAAGATACTTTTGTGTTTTACTTTGTTTTATTTTTAAATGAGTAGAAGCTTTGAATGGTTGTTCTCATTAAGTAATTTTAATTAATATAGTCTCCTTGGACTCTGCTTAGGCAGAAGCTGAGCAATCCTATGTTTTTATGTGTAATTTTCCATGGTTGGTGGTGTGACCAAATCCGGCTGTTTGGGGATTATTTAGCCTTCATTTGAATGCCTTTCCTGAGGACCGTGCAAGAAGATCCAACAGATTATAGCACTTCCTCCAAGGTCAATGGGAAAGTCTTAGGGAACTACTGGTACCACCACAACATTATTTTGAGCCCTCAAAACACACCTTTCACATATTCAGCTCAATGAGACCCTTTCTCTTTGGAAATTAACCAGTTTCTGGTGATGTAGCACCCCCAGATTTCTAAAAAATGGAAATGTTCCTGGGGATACTACTGGACTAAGAATATTAGTAACACATTGGTCTTAGCAATGGAGTATCTTACAGATATCACTATACTACTTGTAGCTATAGTAATATATGTATAGTTAGTACCTCCCTACCATATATAGAAGGAATCTTTGCTAAATGAATTTTCCAAAGAGAGATGTCAGATTTGTGAGTATCATTTTGAAATCTCTGCTCAAACTGTTTCCTCTTACAGTGTATCTCATATTTTTCTTAGCCAAATGATACTCATTACTTGCAGAATTTATAGATTTTTGTCTTCTTTTAGTAAGATATTACTGGGGCATACTTGCTACAGACCTTCACAAAATAAGGGGAAAAATTGTAAAAAATCTAAGTCAATGCATCTATAGAGAGAAAATAGGATTTATTGGCCAGAGGGAGTCTTCTAGAATTGAAGGCTGCCTGTCTGACACAGCAAGAAAGGTATATACTGAGAAAAATCAAGGGGTGATCATCTTCTACAATTTCTAAGATGATTGTGTGGGAAAAAAGCAAAGACAGGTTAGAAGTGATAAATTTAGCTGAAGAGGGGCAGACTGGTTTGTTAAGCTTTGATTCTGCTCTGAAGCATACCTGTTTTGCAGTGCAGTGTGCCCTGAACCGCTCTGCCTTCTTTGCTGAGCGGCTCTATTATTCCATGAAAGGTGCTGGAACAGATGATTCCACTCTAGTCAGGATTGTGGTCACTCGAAGTGAGGTAAGGCAAAGCAATACTTTCTTTTTATCTGGTTTTGCTTGATGTTGAATGTTGATTTCTTAAAGTTCCTTGATTGTGAAAACCCTCAGAAATGGTGCTAAGAATGAGCTCTTTTTGTCACTATTAAGAGAGGTAGAAAAAGCACAGTCACAGTATGTATTCTCCTCCTGTTGAGAGAGAAGCCTAGAGTAGTGAAATAGAATACTGTATCTCAATGAAGACAATGTTAAGAGATTTTTCTACTTGAAAAGGTCTATGGGGAGTACTAGTTTAGTTGGAAGATATTTCTTTTTTAAGAGCTTGGGTCTCACTCTGTTACCCATGCTGGCCCCAAACCCAGAGCTTAACCAGTCTTCTTGCTTCAGCCACTCCAGTAGCTGAGATTACAGGTATGCATCATTGTTCCTGGCTTGCTTATTTATTTATTTTGCTGTGGGGATCAAACCTAGGGCTTTGCATATGCTAGGCAAGTGCTCTACTACTGAGCTAAAGCTCCAGCCCCTGGCTTATTTTTTATTTTTATTTTGTTTATGCTTTGTATGAAAGACCTATATAGGTTAATCATATTGGGTATCAAAATTATTGAAATTTAGCATCCCTTATTAACTATAAAATAATTTTCAGTACTCATCATTATCTTCTTATGTAAATATAGACTTGTGTTTTTCTTTTATATATTTATTGGGGTGTGTGTGTGTGTGTGTGTGTGTGTGTGTGTGTGTTATGGGGGTTTAAACTCAGGACCTCGTGCTTCCTACTCAGGCATTCTACCACTTGAGCCATTCTATCAACTCTATTGATTTTTTTTTAATTGATAGGAAACATATACTACTAAATAATACTATAGAAGGTAGATAGATCATTTTTTAGAAAGATAGTCAAAATATGGTATTTTAAATTCTTTTTCATGTGTTTATTTTTAGATTTAAATTCTCTAAGTATCTTTGCTAGAATTGTGATAAAATGTACATAAAATTTACCATTCTAACCATTTTTAATGGTTAGAATGTGGCATTATGTCTATTCACATTGTTGTGCAACCATCACCACATCCACCTCCAGAACATTTTTCCTTTTGCAGAACTGAAAATCTGGGCTGGTGGAACTGGCTCAAGTGGTAGAGCACCTGGTAGCAAGCATTAGGCCCTGAGTTCAAACCCCAGTATCATCAAAAAAAAAAAAAATCTATATTCATTAAATAGTATCTCCCTGTTCCCCTCTCTCCTAACTGTCAAAGCTACCATGAGACTTTCTGTCCCTATATTTGACTATACTTCATATGGGTGGAGTCAGACAGGATTTGTCCTGTTGTGACTGGCTTCTTTCACTTAGCCTAATGTCCTAAGGGTTTATCTAGGTAGTAGCGTATGTCAGAAATTTATTTCTTTTAGAGGTTCAATAATACTCCATTGTATCTATATACCACCTTTCCTTTATTCATTTTTCTGTGTATACATACTTAGGTTGCTTCCAACTTCACCTATTGTGAATGATGGCTGCTGTGAACATAAGTGTACAAATACCTGTTCAAGTCCCTGCTTTCACTTTGTTTGTATATTTACCAAGTAGCGGAGTTGCTGGATAATATATGGTTTTTAAAAAAATTTTTTATTACAATATATCCATTATACAGGAGGAGATTCATAATGACAATTCAATTAGGCTTATATTGTACATGAGTTACACTGCCCCCATCGTCTGTCCCCCCACCTCCCTCCCTGCTCCACTTAAAACAGTTGCAAGAGATTTTTTTGTTCTACCTCATATAGGTATATGAAGTCATCAACTGTATAATCTCACCTTAATTGCCTTCATTCACTGTTCCCCCTCCCATTTGTATCTCCCCCACCCACTGTACCTATTTTACAGCTCTGTTTTTAATTACTAATATTTGAATTGATGTTCAAAGGGGTTTCTCCATGCATTCCCACTGTGGGTATATTTTACCTTGGTCCATTCAACCCCTTCCATTACTTTCCCTTACCCCTTAACCTCCCACCCCCCATTTTTCAACAGCTTTCAATACATTTCCTTATATTCTCTACCTTCACAGATGTTATGCTTTGATATTACTGATGCTCTGTCATTCTCTTTTCCTTTCCTTCTTTCCCCACCATTCTATAGAGTAGTTCTACTATTGCAAACATGTTCTATATATGAGTTTGTATATGATCATGTTTGGTTTTGTGTATATGTTTTATCTTTTGGATCTGTCTTCCACATTTGAGAGAAAACATGTTGTCTTTGTTTTTCTTTTTTCTTTTTTTTTTTTTTTTTGCTTTTGTCTTTCTGAGACTGGCTTACTTCACTTAACATGATGTCCTCCAACTGCATTCATTTACCTCCAAACCACATGTCATGTCATTATTCCTTATGGCTAAATAAAACTCCATTGTGTATAAATACCACAATTTCTTGATCCATTCATCAGTCATAGGGCACTTGGGTTGTTTCCAAAGCCTGGCTATTGTGAATAGTGCTACGATGAACATGGGTGTACAGGTGTCTCTATTGTATCCTGACTTACATTCCTTTGGATGGATGCCTAGGTGTGATATCACCAGATCATATGGCAGTTCTGTCTTTAGCTTTTAAAGGAATCTGCATACTGCTTTCCATAGTGGTTGTACTAATTTGCATTCCCACCAACTGTTATACAGTGTATAAGGGTTCCTGTTTCACCACATCCTTGCCAGCATTTGTTGTTGTTATTGCCCTTCAATATGACCATTCTAACTGGGGTGAGATGAAATTTCGGTGTTGTTTTGATTTGCATTTCTTTTATAACCAGGGAAGTTGAACGCTTCATCATGTATTTACTGGTTATTTGTACCTCTTCCTTTAAGAATTCCCTGTTTAATTCATGTGCCCGTTTTTTCATTGGAATGTTGATTCTTTGGGGGCTGAGTTTTTTGAGTTCCCTGTAGATTCTAGACATTAGTCTCTTACTGGATGAGTAGCTGTGCAAAGATTTTCTCCCATTCTGTGGGCTGACTCTTGAATCTAGGGACTGTTTCTTTTGCTGTGTAGAAGCACTTTAGTTTGATGCAGTCCCATTTGTTCATTGTTTCTCTTAGATGTTGAGCCTTTTGAGTTCTGCTTAGGAAGTTGTTCCCTATACCTGCCTGTTCCAGTGTATTTCCTACTACTTCCTGGAATTGTTTCAAAGTTTCAAGCCTTCTATTAAGATCCACTTTGATTTTGGTACAGGATGAAAGACAGTGATCTAGTTTCAGTCTTCTACATGTGGATATCCAGTTTTTCCAGCAACATTTGTTGAAGAGGCTGTCTTTTCTCCATCATGTGTTTTGTGCTCCTTTGTCAAAGATCAATTGACTGTAGATACATGGGTTTATGTCTTCTATTCTGATCCATTGGTCTTCCTGTCAGTTTTTGTGCTAATACCATGCAGTTTTTATTGTTACGGCTCTGTAGCATAGTTTGAAGTCAGGTATTGTGATGCCTCTGGCATTGGATTTTTTGCTCAGAATTGCTTTGGCTATTCGAGGTCTTTTGTGTTTCCATATGTATTTTAGGATTGACTTTTCTATTTCTGTGCAATTCAGTGGAATTTTGATAGAGATTGCACTGAACATGTTGATCACTGTTGGTAGTATGGCCATTTTCACAATGTTCTACCAATCCATGATGGAAAGATCTCCTGATGTCTTCTTTGATTTCTCTTTTCAGTGGTTTATTAGTTTTCATTTAAAAGTTTTTTTGGTTTCCTTCATTAAGTTTATTCCAAGGTACTTTATTGTTTTTGAGGCTATTGAAAATGGAATTGTTTCCCTGATTTCTTTCTCAGTCAGTTCATTGTTGGTATATAGGAAGGCTACTGATTTCTGTATTTTAATTTTGTAACATACTTTGCCAAAAGAGTTTATAATTTCTAATAGTTTTTTGGTAAAGTTTTTAGGCTCTTTTAGGTATAGGATCATGTCATCTGCAAATAGGGATGGTTTAACTTCTTCCTTCCCTATTTGAATGCCTTTTATTTCTTGCTCTTGTCTTATTGCTCTGGCTAGGAATTCCAAAACTATATTGAATAGGAGTGGGGAAAGCGGCCATCCCTGTTTTGTTCCTGAATGGTTTAAGTTCTCCATTTAGGATGATGTTGGCTATGGGTTGTCATATATAACCCTTACTATGTTAAGGAATATTCCTTCTATTCCTAGTTTCTTCAGAGCTTTTATCATGAAAGGGTGCTGAACTTTGTCAAAGGCTTTTTCTGCATCTATTGAGAGGATCATGTGGTTTTTGTCCTTGCTTCCATTTATATGCTATATTATGTTTATAGATTTACATATGTTGAACCATCCTTGCATCCCTGGAACACAGGGATCACCATACTATTTTTTACAGCAACTGCATCATTTTACATTCCCACCAGCAATGTACAAGTGTTGCAGTTTCTCAACATCCTTGCCAACATTTAATAGCCATTCTGTTACCAAGTAGCTGTCCTCTATCATAGCCATCCTATGTTTCTAAATGACTATACTTATCCAGTATTTTATTTTATTTTATTTTATTTTTTCATTTTTCTTTTATTATTCATATGTGCATACAAGGCTTGGTTCATTTCTCCCCCCTGCCCCCACCCCCTCCCTTACCACCCACTCCCCCCCTCCCTCTCCGCCCCCTTCAATACCCAGCAGAAACTATTTTGCCCTTATTTCTAATTTTGTTGTAGAGAGAGTATAAGCAATAATAGGAAGGAACAAGGGTTTTTGCTGGTTGAGATAAGGATAGCTATACAGGGCATTGACTCACATTGATTTCCTGTGCGTGGGTGTTACCTTCTAGGTTAATTCTTTTTGATCTAACCTTTTCTCTAGTACCTGTTCCCCTTTTCCTATTGGCCTCAGTTGCTTTAAGGTATCTGCTTTAGTTTCTCTGCGTTAAGGGCAACAAATGCTAGCTAATTTTTTAGGTGTCTTACCTATCCTCACCCCTTCCTTGTGTGCTCTCGCTTTTATCGTGTGCTCATAGTCCAATCCCCTTGTTGTGTTTGCCCTTGATCTAATGTCCGCATATGAGGGAGAACATACGATTTTTGGTCTTTTGGGCCAGGCTAACCTCACTCAGAATGATGTTCTCCAATTCCATCCATTTACCAGCGAATGCTTATCCAGTATTTTACAGAGCAGTGAATCAGACCACCACTGGGGAGAGCTGGCACTGATATGAGTGCCAGCTATAAGTACTTGCCCCCCCTTCTTCCCATTTTGACTATAAAATGTTATTATTTAAAAAATTATAATGATATGTTTTGATAGATTTTTTCTAACCTATCATTTCTTCTACAGATTGACCTTGTACAAGTAAAGCAGATGTTCACTCAGATGTATCAGAAGACCTTGGCCACAATGATTGCAAGTGACACAAGTGGAGATTATCAGAAGCTTCTTTTGGCTATTGTGGGCCAGTAGGAGGGATTTTTTTAAAGTGAATAAAGCTATTCATAGATTATCCTTCAAAGCAGTGATTGACCTGCATGCAGCAATATCAACCATAACCCTGCAAAACAGTTTTTTTTACTAAGGACTGTATGTCAGGGTAATGTGCTTAGGTTGCACATGTTATTACTGCCTTAATTCTAATGTTATTTTTCTTCTGTGAACAAGCAATCAATGTAAAAGCCATATCATGACAAGGTAGTAATTTTGCAATGTTTGTAAAGCTTCATCTTCACTGCTTTTATTCTAATCAGGATCTCAAATTGAATAAAATTCACACTAATCTAATTCTGTGTAATATTTAATTTTAAAAAGTTTCTAATCACTTCTATCTCAAAAATTGAGAAAACAGTATTTTTAAAAAGTGATGCTGGTCCAGATTGATTTCAGAACATAGTTACTAATTTAGGAATATAAATAATGGGGTGCCCACAGACCATAGTTGTATGGGCTGGGGTGTAGCTCAGTGGTTGAGTGTTGGCCTAGCATGCACAAGGCTCTGGGTTTGATCCCAGTACTGCAAAAATAAAAAAAAACAAAGAAGAGTTAACTCATAATGGAGTCCAATGACAACTGGTTGTTCCTTTTTGTTCCTTTTCTAACATCTGAATCTTTTCAGCACATATTGAAAAAACGACTTATCTTTAGCTAGATTTATATTTTCATGAAAAAAGTTATAGAACTTAAAAGCCGTATGATGTTTACCTCAATAAATAAAAGTTTACTTGACATGTGAGCAAACCATTAGCTATTTGAAGATTATAGAAATTTTGCTGGTGTTTTTGAGACTCATTTTCTACCCCAAGACTGACTATTATGAATGATTTCCCTGCCATGTAATGGAAGTGCCCTGATGAGCACCATGCAGCATTAGGAGTGGTGACCTGTTCAAGCCTGGCATTCTAAACTAATGGATCCCAGTGCAAGATGTTAAGTATGTCATTTTGGCAATTAGAGTACTCCTGAGGCTGTCAGGAGCTTAATAAAGAGTGAAGAGAGTTGCTTCCCCTTTCCCACCCTCAAGATCATCAACCCCCTGTGCATCTGGCAGGATATCAGATTATTTCTGTTTTTGCTGGGGGGGGCGGTGGTGCATGTGTGTGTGTGTGTGAACCCCCTGTGCATCTGGCAGGATATCAGATTATTTCTGTTTTTGCTGTGTGTGTGTGTGTGTGTGTGTACTATAGTTCTGTCTGGCCTCAAATTTGTGATGATCCTCCTCCTCCTGCCTTAGCCTCTTAAGTCCTGAGATTACAGACATTCACCATAATGCATGGCTGATTATTTCTGTATTACTATTTGATTCCAATGGATGCAGAAGAAGCACCACTTTATATGTTTAATAGTCAAAAGGAAAAAGTCACTTTTAATTTATATAAACCACTATCTTCTCTTTTACCTTTTTTTCTAAGCTGTACTTCTTGCACTTTACCAGATTTTTCCAGACTAAAATTATGGAGACTGTATTTGTTGCCTTTCGGGGTTCTAAAGTCTTACTAATACCAACTGCTTTATGGCCTTTTCTCTCAATTATTCTGTTATCCTCAAATTCCATTTTAAGTATCAGCGAACATTTTGATTAAATGCCAAAACACATCATCTTACTTTAAATTGTGAAATTTGTAAAAATCTTTGAAATTTATTTATAAATTTAGTGAAAAACAAGTTACATGCAAAGTGACCAACAAAAATTCCCAAAAGGCTTCAATTTTTAATATAAATAGTTATCTTCAATTTTTAAGATAAATGGTTGTCCTGTAATTTTATGGAAGCAGTAAAAATTATAAATTGCTTTGAAAAAAATCCAGCTCTTGCACTGACAACTGTAAGCCTATCTCTTGGAAGAATGAAGGATCTCATTTAGAGTCTAGCCCAGGCCAAAAAAAAAGTTAGAACCTCAGGGGTTCGGGAGGGGAAAATGATAGGGGCAATCTAAACAATGTACAAAGTATGCTTATTCAGAATTGTCACAATGAAACCCTCCACTGCCCTTTACAATGAATATATCCTAATAAAAATGGGGGGCAAAAAGAACCCCATATCAATAAAGAGCTAGGTGTGGTGGCAAGTGCCTATCATCCAGTAATGCAGGAAGTGAAAACAGGATGACAATCCAGGCCAACAAGGGTCATAAACTCAAAACCCTATTCCAAAAATAAAGCAAAAAGGGCTGGGGAGTGTGGCTCAAGCAGCAGAGCATCTGCTTAGCAAGTGCCAAGGTCCTGAGTTCAAACCCCAGTACTATGCATACACACAAAAATATCCAGCTCCTTTAACCTACAAGAGTAATTTCTATCTTGTTTTACATAAAATTGGTGTTCTGTATTCATAACACTGTATTCATAACACTTAATTTCCCACATATAGAATAGAATAATTTTAGCTATATCAACTTCTTAAAAAGGGGTGAGATGTTTATATGCTTAAAGTACACAGCCTACTTTTTTCTACAGTTTTTGAGGTAGGACTAACAAAAAATTGCATATATTTAAAGGATACAATATGGTCTTCCCATCCAAGTACTAACCAGGCCTGACCCTGCTTTAGCTTACATTCAGGATGGTATGCCTTAAACCAATATGGTCTTTTTTTGGTGGTGGTGGTGGTGGTGGTGTTTTGTTTTGTTTTTTTTAAGACAGGATCTCACTATGTAACCCAGGCTGGCCTCAAACTCTTGATCCTCTTGCCTCAGTCTCCTGAGTGTTGGGATTACAGGGTGTGTGTCACCTCACTCAGCTAATAATGGTCTTTTGATAGTATACCTTGTTTAATGATTCTCACAATTAAGTTTGAGCCAATTAACTGTCACCTGATACATTTTTGTGCAGTGAGAATACTTAAAATCTACCACCTTAGCACATTTCAAGTGTGCAATACACTACTAATTGTAGTAATCCTGTTGTACATTAGCTTTCTAGAGCTTACCCGCAACTGAAAGTTCATACCCTTGAACCGACATCTCCCTATTTTCCTTATCCCATCAACCTCTGGCAGTTACCACACTGTTTATCTGAAGTTCAACTATTTTTAGGTGCCACATATTTGTGATATGCAATATTTGTCTTTCAGAGTCTGGGTTATTTTTATTCCAACACTCAGTTCCTGGGCACAAAACAGATATTTAATATAGGTGTGGTAAACGACTGCACTAAAAATTGAGGGCAAGAATAGTAAACATCAATTATAATTCAACAAACCTTTTCTTGTTTTGATGGGCTGGCCTTTAACTCTCAATCCTCCCTCTTGAGGCTCAAGCCAAGGCATCCTGCTAAAATGACCTATCTCCAAATCCGCTCAATAATGGCTTTTTTCTTAAAATTCCCTTTAGGTTCTCTTCCTCCTATTTATGGAGGAACCCTGAAACAAAAGAGTCGAGAAAGCTAAGAGAAAAAGGTGGAAAACCTCACCTAACCCAAACTCTCACCAAATACATGAGGCGACACTGCGACCGGGCTCCAGGGCGCAGGCGCAAAACTCCACCGCTCCCACCAGGAAATCCTCACACAGCAAGCTCTCGCGAGACTTAGTTGGTTGCTATAGTTGCGACAAACTTGTCCGTGGCTGCCTCAGGTAAGATGGTTATTTCTCTGCTTAAAATCTTCCCTTCCCGGCTTCCCCACGACACTCTGTCACCCAAGCCTTCTGCCCCCTCACCTAAAGCCAAGCTGAAAATTGGGTACAGACTCAGTCTGCACTGTCCCCAGCCCCGCTCCAAGGCGGACGAAGACGCCCCTTTCCAACTTTGCCTGAATGCCGCCTCACTTTCAGCATTGCACCCTTGTGTTCCCCCTTTCCCTCCCCACCCCCACCCTCAACCAGACCCAGGCACCTCGCCTCCTTCGTTTCTAATTTGATTCTGGGCTTGTGGCTTCTTGTGAGCACATGACAAAATAATGTGTCACTTGTCTTGAAGGCTGTAATTGAGCCTTAGGAAAGGAGTGCATATTAATAATGCCATTTGTACAGTGCTTCATAGCTTAAACAGTGTTCTTTTCTTTGGGGGAGATTCACAACAAATGTGAAACAGGTCGGAAGGTGAAACAGGCTTAAAGAAGTTAAGCATTTGCCCAAAGTCACAGTTACTAAATAGGAAAGGTCTTAAATCCTCAGTCCTGAGCCTGTGGGTGTAAAGTGGTAAATGCGGTCAGAACATGAGGTCCCATGTTCTGACCCCAGTACTGATAAATAATAATTAAATGCATTCATACATACATACATAGAAAGAAGGAAAGAAAGAGAATCCCCAGTCCTTAGTAAACAAGACAGCTTGTACATGGCACAGAAGAAATATATAGTGCTAGAATAGGTCACAGGAACGACAAATGGTTCTGAGCAGGAAACTTCATGGACTCGGAAGCATTTGAGCTGGATGAATGGGATTTGCCCATATAAAGATGGAGTGAGGAGGAAGAGCTGTTCCTGGAGAAAGAAAAAAATGCAAAGGTTCAAAAGGGTCTGAATGCAGATAATCTTTGAAAAATACTAAACCAGATCATAGGCTAGATGAGGGAGAAGTTGATTGCCATGCTGGGGCCTAAAGGGCCTTGAATGATGTATAACAATTTTAACTTTATTTGGTAGATGAGAGGGAATAAGTGACATAAGGGGCTAGCTGAGTGGCTCAAGTGGTGGAACACATGTTTAGCAAGTTTGAAGCTCTGAGTTCAACCTCTCAGTTCCACCAAAAAAAACAATACAGTGACATCAGATCTGAGCTCTAATCTGATATTTATTTGCTTGTCTCTTTGATCTCATTTTCTTCATATTTCTTCTTACACTAAAACCCAAGCATGCTGAGCTCTTTGACTTTTTTTTCTTTGCCTTTGAGCATCTTTTCTTTTTGCCTGGAACATCCTTCATCTTAGCCTATTCTTTTAGTTCCAGATTTCCTCCTACAAGATTTTCCTGGCATGCACATCCACAAATGTCCTCTCAAATCCAGCTAGGTCTCAGTTTCAACACTTCCTTGCTATATGTCTGCACTCAGTTTTCTTTTCCCCTAAAAGAGAGATTTAAGATTCTGGGTGCAAATACTATGTACACGTGAATGTAAAGGGAAAAAAAAGATATCTGTTGAAACTATTTCTCGAATGGGGGGGTGGACAAAGGAGAATGGTGGAGGGGGTGAAATCAAGTATGATATATTTGATACATTTTAAGAACCTTTGTAAATGCCACAGTGTACCCCCTCCCAGCATAACAATAAAATAAAAATAAAAGCAAACAACAAAGATTCTCCTGGAAGGGTAGATATATATGCAAAGCTCTTGCACACTGGCATACACTAAGCCATAATCAAAAGTTAATTCCCTCCCCCTCTTCCCAGGGTGCTTGCCTCCACCCTGTTACCTACTCTACTGTCAAAGCACCCACCGCACACAATAGCTCTTGGTCTATTTACATTCTCTTTTCCTTTCTAGATTTTAAATTGCTTGATGTTAAGGAGTTTACATCATATCTCAGATCCTCATCACCTACACTGTGTCTAGCTTAATAAAAGTTTGTTCAATGAATAATTTTGACATAAGTGGGATGAATTAGAATAAAAAGAAACTGGAATCAGAGAGACTAATAGGAGTCTTTTGTTACCATCTAGCAAAAAAAAAGGGGGTGGGGGAAATGAAGGCCTAATTGTGGTACTTTTGTAAGGCAAACAAACTTTTCCAGAGGGCTTTTCAAATGTACACTTAACAAGGAAATTGTCAGTGCCACTTAGGCCTTGAAAGAACCTGGAGGCATGGAGTTGAACAACTGGAAAAATGACAGAGTAGCTGGAAGAAGAAGAATAATTATAAAGCCTGAAGGATGCCAGTGGTTGTATTCTTTTTCATTATTACAAGTCCTAGATAGATTTAGCATAGTGTGTCCTCAATAAATGTTTGAATTAAATAGATAATAAGTTCTACTTTGAATTGAGTTAGAAAACATGACTTTAAAAAAAAACCTCACCTGTTCTGCCTGGTAGCAAGGGGCTGAGGGGGAGAGGGAGGGGGCGGGAGGAAGCGGGGAGAAATGACCCAAACATTGTATGCACATACAAATAAAAGAGAAAAAAAAAAAAAAAAAACCTCACCTGGCCCAGTGACTCATGACTCTAATCCCAGCTATGCAGGTGACAGAGATTGGGTACATCACACGGTGAGGGCCAGCCCAGGCAAAAAAGTTAGCAAGACCCAATTTCAACCAATAAGCAGGGCATAGTGGTACACTTCTGTCACTCCACTACTTGGGAGTCATAAATAGAATAGTGGTCCATGCTAGCTGGGCAAAAAACACAAGACCCTATTTGAAAAAATAACTAAAGCAGAAAGGGCTGAAGGCATGTCTCATGCGCCTGCCTAGTAAGCATGAGATCCTGAATTCAAACCCACAAAAAAAAAGTGTTTTCGAAATTGTTTAAGTCCTTAGTATTGTAAAATAATTAGAAAAGATAATCTAATTAGAGACATAAATCAGGACCTTTTCCAATAGACTATAATTTTATGTTGTTGTTTATTTCTTGTTCTCAAAACATGTTTTTATAAAGCAAAAGATTTCTGAGAGGAGCTTTGCACTTTGAAAAAATAAAGTTAGCACAGTACATTGTGAAGTATGGTGAGAGATGGGACCCAGGGAGATGGCATTCCTGTACTCTATATTGTGATCGTTTGTACTTCATAGATGAGTTACATGTGTAAGAATATTTTTAGCACCAACCAGTGGAATCATGCTTGTGTCCAGCTCACAAAAACACTGCTTATGCATCAGCAAAAGTTGGAAAGGAGAACAAAACTGTGCTGAGCTGTCATGTCCTTCGGTTCCCCTGTGGTATTGGTTATGATGTAATGTGTACTTGTACAGCTAACATATGTGCGAGGGGACAGGTTCATGTACTTTCTTTGCAGAGACCAAAGAAGACCAGAGGGACTTGGCCAATTGCTGATATGGAACCAGTGCCATCAGTAGGCAAATTGGTGCACATAACTGTGACAGATGGATATGATTTGGTAAATTCATTTTTGGAAATCCGTACTGTTCCCTAGTTGGGAAGCATGAGGGGAGTAACAGGGTTTTGCATCACATTCTGCCTCTAGTCCTGGTTTTACATAGCATTTTCCCTTTGGTGTTCCTTATTGTTAGCTTACACTCAGCAGGTCGCACTGCTCTGTGACTGAAACACCTGGGGTGAATCAAAAGTCATTTTAGTTTTCCTTTATGATTCTTTTTTCCTTTCTCTGCAGAAGGATCTGAATTCTTCCACGGTTTTCTTTATGATTAATTTTATTTGATGAGTTTAAATGACAAGTACAGTAAATATTAAAAATTAGAAAAATAATGAAATGGCACACTGTTCCTTATTATGAAGTTTAAAAAGCTTTTCCAAGAGATTTCATTAATAAGCCCTATTTGTTTAAAAATGTGTGTATAATATATATATACACATTTATAGCAAAACACTAAAAATACATATTCTAAAGTGTTGATAGTGCTTACATATTAGAGTAAGATATAGGTGGTTTATTTTCCTGTGTGATTTTCTCACTTTTTCCGATGTTCTACAATATCCTTTTTTTTTTACTACAATATACTTTTATAATCAGATAACACAATAAATGTTATTTTAAAAAAAAACTTTAACCTAATGACATTTAAATGGAATATTGCATTTAACTACAACTAGATTTGTTTAATGATTTTCTACTTGTCCTATTTGCATTTATGATGTAGCTTGTTAGGAAAAAAAAATGGAAAATGCCATTTAGCTCAAGGCAAAGTAGATTTCCAGATATGTAGGGAAATTCTTTGTTTGAATATAATTGAAAGCGATATGTTTCCACTGACAGAGAGGTGTTAAAGGAGATACTCCAGTTACTTTTGTTCGTGCAGAATTCAATCAGGTGGTTCTGGGAGACTCTGCAAAAATTACTGTTTCTCCAGAAGGAACTGCAAAGTACAACTTCAATAGCAGTTTTGAGTTCAATCTTGAAGGCGGAATCAGTTTCAATGACATCGCTCACAAACCTGTATTCTGTAAGTCCTTGCGGTTCTGTGTTATGAGGAGATTCTGAGGTACTCGGTCACCCTTGTTGGGATAGTTGAGCACCCCTTAACTCCTTACTCTAGGAATATGCAGTATATTTGAGTCTTAACTAACTCATAGCAACAGTAACCATAGCATATTAATTTTAATTAGCTTTTATCAAGGACATTTTAATTAAACACTGAACTTTGCAGTTAAGCTGAGTTAGGAGCTTCTCCTTTGTATTCTAATATTTAGGGTTACTGGACCTTAAAAAATAAAGAAAAAACAAAAAATGGGACATCCTTAAAATTTATTCCTTGTTTATTTGAAGTTCAAAAATATTCTATCCTATTTTACCTGGTAACTGCATCTGTATTTTTATATACTTACCATACCATGGAGCAATTATTCATGTACCTCTCCTGCTAGAGGAGGCACTTGTTGAAATCAGGGCCTAATTCTTAGAAATATCTATAACACAATGGGCTCAAAAAGTGTTGAATGAATGAAATAGATAGATGGAAGAATGGTTTCTGTGTCTGCATCTTTATGGTTTTCATATGCACATTTTTATCACTTATACAATTTGTTGCATCTGTACACTAAAGTTTTTTGTTGTATTAATCTATTCTGTGTGTGTGTGTGTGTGTGTGTGTGTGTGTGTGTGTGTTTGATGCTGGATATTGAACCCTGGTCCTTCCTCATGCTTGGTAAGCGCTCTGCCACTGAGCTACATCCTCAGCCTTTGGTATTTTGTTTTCTTTTGTTTTTTGAGACAGATTTCTCGATATAGCTCAGGCTAGCCTCAAACTCTCAATTCTGTTAAGTGCTGGCATTACAGGCGTGAACAACAACACCTGGCTTTGATTTTATAATTTTATTAATGGCATATCCCAGGGGTGCTTACCAAAGCCACAGATTCTAAGATCTCAGATTCAGAGTGGTGATACATGGGAATCTACACAGTCTTCTAGATTCTGCAGTAGCCTAATTCTATATCTTTCTTTCCATAAAAATCACTTGAGACTATGGGACCCAGTCTTCAGGGTGCCTACCCTGTACTACCAAATTCACAATTGGCAGAAATAGAGTCAAAGAAGCTTAACCTTGAAATAAGAATCTTTGGTGACTCCTAAAAACACTCCTCTAGCTAAGTGATTCCAAGCAGTGGCCTCGCTGGAAATCAGTCGCCCATAGAGATATCCATCTGTATCACACTTTTACAACTCCCTTCTCTCCTCTTTAATCTGTGCTACTCTGTCATCTAAAATAGGAGTGTCCTGATTGCCTTCTTTCCAAGCATGTTGAATGGGAAAAGCAAAACCAAAACATTTTTAAAATGTGTAACCAAGATATGAGAGGAAAGGGCAATCCCTTTGTTCCCAGAAGCAAAGTAGGAACTGAAGCCTAGAAGTCTTCGAAAGCTGCCATTGGTATAGGTATAGTCATCAGGAAAGAGATTGTGCTCACAAGTCTCTGTCCCACCGACAGAGCTGCTGTGTCCTGAGTGAGAAAATCTAGGGTGCACTGGGGATGACATGTATCTGGGGAAGGCATCTCAGGATCCTGAGTCTAATGCCCCACCTCCAGTACAAAATGAGGTGTCAAGGCATGTTATTAGGAATTTACCAGAACAAAGCGAACTCACCGGAAAGAGGCCAAGCCAGGCTTCAGGTGAGATGGGTGGTTTAAGGGGAGAGGGCAGTATTCCAAAACGTAGGACCTTGGGTTTTACTGCTCTTCCAAGGACAAAAGACCTTGGACTGCCACAGATGAGAAGTTGAGATTGAGACCACCTCCCTACCACAAACTAAGACTCCTAAAAGCATGAACTAGAAAAAAATAAATCCAGTCATTATCATCTCTGTATAGAATACAGAAAGTCTTTGCTAAGAATTAGTAGTCATAGGCTTGTGCCAGCCTTCATATATGTTTTCCTAACACACAAGGAACATTTATATAATAACATTTGGACACATTCTAGGCCTTACCAAATACCAAAAAATCTGTAGCATACAGATTAAAATTTTCTAATCAAAATACAAATTTTCTAATCAAAATCAACAAATTAGAAATCAATACCAAAAAGAAAAATCCATGTGGAAATTTAGAAACACACAAATAATTCTTGGGAAAAGAAACCATAATAAAAATTGCAAAGCATTTAGAATTGATCAGCAATAAAATACCAAATATCAAATCTGTGGGTTTGATACGCCTAGGGGTGTAGTTTAATGATAGAACACTTAGCACGCATGAGGCCGAGGGTTCCATGCCTTGCACCACAAAATCAAAACAAAACCTGTGAGATATAGTTAATAGAGTACTCAGAAGTACATTTATAATCAGTAGAAGACAAAAAGGGTTAAAAACGAACTTCTCTATCTTAAAAGATGGAGCAGATACAGTTTTCTCTATTCCTCCCACTAAGTACAATTACAAACCCTGGACGTTATAGGTAAAACAAGCATAAGAGGCTCTTAAAGGTGAAGAGAAGGAACACGAGAAACTGGAGAGTGACATAATGCTGCCTTTTTGTTTTGTGTATTCCAGACTTGATGCTTAAGAAGTTAGCAACCTAGAAACATCAGAGGGTACAGATTTTTTTTTTAATCTTTCTCTAGTTAAAACACCTGGAAAAGGGCATCCTAGAAAGACAGAAAACTTCTAGATAGTGTTACTCAAATTTTTTCACTGCTGTGACAAATACTTGAGAGAAACAATTTAAGAGAGGAAGTATTTATTTTAGCTTACGGTTTCAGAGGGAGTTTCATCATGGCAGGGAGATTATGGTAAAGCAGAGCAATTCACATCACTGTGGCCAGGGAGGAGAGAAAGAGTGTTTGTACTAGTAGGCTTTTTCTTTTTTTATCCCTTTTATTTCATTTGAGCCCTCAGCCTGTGGGATGGTGCTGCCCACATTCAGGGTAGGTCTCCCTCTTCATTAATCCTCTGTGGAAATGCCCTCAGACACACCCAGAGGTGTGCTTTACTAATCTCCTAGGTGCTTCTCAATCCAGTGAAGTTGACAACCAAGGTTAACCATTAAACAGGAACTGCTCTAGTCCAGCCAAACACTACAGAAAAAAGGGGGAAAAAGGGTTCTACCCTCAGAGTGAGGAGCCTCCCCCTTCACTAAGTTATACTGAAGCACCCCAATACTTTAGCAGTATCACAGAAGAACAAATAGGAAGCCAGGACTTTTTTCCCATCTGGTAATGAGTCCCCTTCCTACCTGCTCCCATAGTGTACTTGGAGAACCTGGGCTTCTATTCCATACTGTCATTAACAAGGTACCTTTCCACCCTACTGTGTCAGAGGAGGCCTAACATAGGGTTAGAATTTTTATTATCACTTAGTGCTAATAAGTCACACCCACTGCAGGATTGGTGGAAATCAAGTAAGGAATCAAAATTCCTGTTCCCCCTCAGCAGTAATGAGGAGCTGTCTCATGGAGGCTTAATGGGGAACCTAGACTTCTACTCCCACATGGTAGTAATGAGGCAGCACCTCTGGGTTCTCCTGTTGGAACAGTATCAGAAAAACTAGCTAAAACAAGGATTAAGTAAGATTGAGTTTCATAACAAATAGGAAAAGTCCAAATTTCAACAGAAAATCATTAGTCATTCCAAGAACTGGAAAATCCAGGGCTGGAGATGTGACTGAAGTGTAGAGTGCCTATAAGCATGAGGCCCCATACTGACCCTAGCACCATAAAGGAAAAGCAAACAAACAAAAACCCTGAAAGATCTGAAACTGAATTTAAATAACAACTAGTACAGACTAACATCAAGATAACATATATATTAGATTTATGAGATAAGCATTTTAAAGAAACCATGATAAAAAAATGCTTCAATGAACAATTACAAAAATGCTAGAAACAAATGAAAAAAATAAACTTAGCAAAGAAATAGAAAGTCTCAGGTAAGAAATAGAATATATAAAGAATCAAATAGAAGTATTAGAAATGAAAAGTAGAATAGCCGATATGAAAAGCTCATTGAATGAGCTCAACAGCAAAATAGAAGAACAGAGGAAAGAATAAGTGAGCTGGAAGATAGAACAATAGCGATTCCCTAATCTGACCAGTAGAGAAAACAGACTAAAAAATATTAACAGACTTGGGGACCTTTGGGACTATAACAAAATATCTAATATTAGTGTTATTGAAGTCATACAAGGAGAGAAGAAAGAGGGTGGAACTGAAAAAAAATTTAAAGTAAGGCATGAGGACTTCTCAAAAAATTGTCAACATAAACCTAAAGATTCAAGAAGCTGAGTGAGCCCACCAGGATAGAAATACATAATAAGAAATACCACAAACTTCTGAGAACTAAAGGCACAGAACAAAATTCTTGAAAGCAACCAGAGATAAATATTAGAATGACATCAATTTCTCAATAGAAAATATAAAAGTCAGAAGCAAGCAGCACAATATTTTCAAAGTGACAAAAGACCTGTCAACCTAGAATCCCATACCCAGCACAAATATCCTTTAGTTATGAAGAGGAAGTCAAGACACTCAAGATGACAGAAAACTAAGAGAATTTGTTCCTATCAGATCCAGGAAAAATCTAAAAAGAAGGGATAAAGGAAGTTCTCTAAACAGAAAGGAAATGATAAAAGGAAAAAACCTTGAAACATCATGAAAGAACATGGTAAGCAACACTTTGAATACATAAAGCCCATCTTGAGTTTTCTAAATTGTTTTGAGGGCTATAGCAAAGCATAGCACTGTCTGATGTACTTATACATGTATCTAGAAAATTTATTTAAGGGAATTATAAATAAGGAGGGCAAAGGGACATAAAGTAGACAGAATAAGGTATCTACTGTTGTCTACCTGATGACATGATGACACTAAAACTATAATAAGTAATGTATATATAATGTAACAGATAGAAAAACTAAAAATATACATGAAGAGATATACTCAAAAATACTATAGCTAGCAAATGCCAGTGGCTCATGCCTATAATCCTAGCTACTCAGGAGGCAGAGATCA